CACACACACACACACACACTCTCACTCTCTCTCATTCTATTCACCTATCTTCTTCACCCCTCTTTCTATTTCCCTTTCTACAATCGCCCTCTCTACCCCCCTCCCCCTCCTTCCTTCTGCCCCTTACTCTACCTCCCTCTATTTTTTTTATGGGGGAGGCTTACGATAAAGACACATTAAAGTGTCTGAGACACAGATTCCTTCCTTTCTTGACCCCCCATGCACTCACACAGACATACGTACAACATGACAGACAATAAATAGACAGACAAAGAGGTCAATAAACGAAGGGAGAGAAGGATAAAAGGAACACGAGCAAACACACACTTATACACGTGTGCTGGACAGTACTCAGGCTTTTTAAGATAATGGACTGAGCTTTCTGTTTATTATGACAAAAGAAAAACAGCTTGCGAGTTGACTGCCTGTGTATTACACATATGTATTATAACTTTCAAAACGGAAGCGCAAAGCAAAATCTCTTGCTTCACGACATCCCCAGCATTCATAACATTTATAAACACGAATCCAAAAGCCCCTCGATCACCTCTGAGTTTCCCTAGAACTTAGCAAAATCACGTCTATCAAAGATACCTTTCCAAAAATAATAAAACCCCAATTACTTTACGGTAAACGTCTGTATTTTCTCGGATACAACTTGTTTCCAGTTTCTCTACATGTTCAATGAGTTATTAGAGATCACTGCAACCACATCATTGGATGCCAAGAAGAAATGAAAAAAGGTGTACCAACTGGGGTCAATATGTGGTTTTAGATGGGATATAATGTATGAGCAGTGCTCTGTTCCTCAGATTCACTCCTACACGTTGTATATTTGTTTCCTTTATGAACGACCTATCATTTCTGTGTAAATGACCGTTTTTGTTTAGCTGACAGGCTTTGGCATAGCACAAAAAGAATCAAACATCATGAAATGAGGACAAACACATCTTGGCATTGCTGGGTTCTTACTTGAACTCCTGCTTCTCATCACTGAAAGAGAAAACGTTGTGGTGAAAGGGTGAAAGACATTGTTATAATGTAGGGCTGAAAAGTTAATTTCGTGGGGGTTGTATTTAAAGTAGGTGGGTTGTTTAGGTGGGGGGGGGAGGGGTTCGCTCCTATTGACACAATTTATATCATGTAGGAGGCGGACTTAGACCCTGCCTGTTACTGCCAGCCCGAGCTGAGACGGATGCAACGCCCCAGCAGAAAGACCGAAATACACAATCAAAATTCTCCCCACACGGGAATTGAACTTGGGTCTTCTGTGTGCGAATCGCCTCACCGCTGCACCGCAAACGCTGGGGTGCATTGTGATGGCGTTTTATCTAGACCAATCGATCAGAAAAGAGAACGAGATTCGAAAAAAAAAAGAACAGAGAAGAGAAAAGGCATCGTTTTACAAAAAAAGAACAGGAAAGAGACATCAGATGACAATCAAAAGTTAAGGATTAACATAATATGCTCTGGGAGAAAAGGGAGTATGCTATGTTTAGGCAGGTGGTGGAGTCTACGAAGGTGCCTCTACGTATGATATAAAATTCTATAGAGGAATGAAAAAAAAACTAGCAGAAAAAAAGGATGTCAGATTAATATACTGCGCTTTGTTTAAAAGTGTCTAGCATTTAGTCTGAAAAGAAGTATTGATTCTATAATAATATGATCAATTAGCGATGCTAATGAACCTACTACACTCTCTACTTTCGAACCCCCCCCC